TTACTAATACTAATATTATTGGTGGTTCAAATAGTCAGTTTTATACATTAATAATTATTTAGAGACAAATATTTAGAATTTTGACATCAATTAGACTTTCGACATCAATTTAGACTTTTGACATTACGGCAAATCAAGTGACCTTGTCGAATATATTTCGACAGTTGAAATGCCTAAATGTTTGTCGAAATTATACCTTTCAACTAACAACTCTAGTCCACCTCCAGTTTAAAATTATTTATTCTATAATATAGGAAATATTGTGTAAAAATAAGCAGTGATACAGTAATCTTCAAACCTTGAAATACTTAGATTGATTCAAACGTTTCTAGAACAAAATCTTCTTGATCATCATCTAGCTCCTTTTGCCATTTTCTTATTAATGATTTACATTTTAAAATTACTTAATATTATTAATATTAAAGAGAACATACTTTTGCCATTTTGTGTCACCGCAAAATGTCATTATCTGATAGTTCATAAGAAGCAAATTCATTTTTAATGCTATTGAAAATATTTTTCATTGATTGGGTTCATTCATTTCTGGAATCCCAGTTAATATATTTTCCTCAAACAAAAATATATGGTTTAAAGATCTACAAAAATTATGGGAAAGTGTTTGTTACAAAAAGACAATATCAAACACACATGAAAAGATTAGAAGTTTAAACTTACAGTGTTTCAGCAACCTCTTCAATCTTATTCTCAGAAGCCTGTTGAACAGATATATCACGATATTCTAATAATAAGCTCGAAACATTGAGTGTATCGATGACCCACTATGTATATAAGGAAGAATTAAAATCTTTTATAAACAAGTCTAAATAAAGTTTAATCATACCTTTTTTGCACCCTCACTTAATGAAAATTCCATAACACCTAGTCCTGTAAACCAATCATAGGTATGATTGATTTTCCTATTTTTCATTGAGATAAAAGAATCATCATCTGGCCCATCTAAACTAGGATTATAGGATTTGTCTGAATTGCTTCCATCAGGTGTTGTAAAAAGCTTGTTCAAGTTGTCCTCATTGATTATTTCAGATACAATAAAAGAATTGTTGGGATCATTTTCCGTTGAATTTAAATTCTAGAAATAAATTTGTAAAATTAAACAAATAAATTCTCAATGGGTCAAATTCATAGTACTAACCTTAGTTACACATTTTGAGGGACTTTCTTTCGCACAATCCAGGAATCGTTTTGTAAGATGAGAAGTAATAGTGTTTACATATGCTCCCATTTGTTTATTCACATTAGTGGTCAAAGTTAAGTCATATTTGTTCTATTCATAATAAAGAATCAAAATTTATCAGTTTGTATTTTAGATAAATTAGTATATGTAGTTTACAAACCTCCTCGTTTTTGATTTTGATATTAATTAATTTTTCGTTGACAACCATCCAGAATTTATTTACAAGCTCAGAAGATTTTTCAGCCTAATATATATTAGAAAACAAAAAATGTTAATAATCCTTTCTAAACTATTTTCTTTTGGCAATAACATGTAAGAGCACCGAGGGAACATGTAATCCACTATCAGCCAGCCAACACGTAATCAACCAGCTTACTCGGTGGTTGTCAATACGTCACGTTATTGTCTCAGTGACCGGAATGTATTCTAGCTCTTAGTTCAAGGATGCCAAGGGAATGCGTAATCCACTATCAGCCAGCCAACACGTAATCAACCAGCCTACTCGGTGGTTGTCAATACGTCACGTTATTGTCTCAGTGACCGGAATGTATTCTAGTCCTTGAACACATGAAATTGCCCAATCTCAAATTGTTAGAGTATAAACTTAACTTCAGAGTATCTAAACATTGTTTTGCCTTTTTTGTATAACCAACACAGCCAGTCAATGTTTCTAATGTTTTTTTATAATCTGAATGCTCTCACTTCCTATTTCTATCCCACCAGGTCGACCTTGAGCCTTGAATGCAAGACAATCCTCGAGATTGCCCCCACCCCAGTGGGGTTAGTGTTAGGTCAACCTTGAGCCTTGAACGTAAGACAATCCTCAAGATTGTCCCCGCCCCAACACTAACTTTGTAACTTGCCCTTGAGGCTTGAATGATATGAGACCCTCGAGGTCCCGTACACGCTACCAAATTCTCTATATTTTTAACTAAAAAAAAATTCATTGACCTCTCTATATCTTGCAAGCAACTCCTTTGCTTTATTGCCCCTTTGTCCTTTATTGGCATCAGCTATTATTTTGAGAGATTTAACGTAAACGCTTATTTTATCACCTAAGTCTTCAAGTTCACATTCCTGTAGGAAGTCTGTAATATCCCACTCAGAGTACCTCCGATTAAAATATTGATGTATCACTTTAGACATGGTTAAAGCTTAAAAAAGCGTGCATAAGTAAAAAATTTTTTAAAGAGACACATAAGATACTGCTGATCAATATTCAGAGTCGTAAAAAGTCAGCACCAGATCTTGATCACAATATAAGAGTGCGAATGATCAATTGATCTTTAAAGACGTTTTTATTGCACTGATATATGTGGGCATTACCAGAGGCAGTCACTTTGTGGCTAATCATGTAACCTGCTGACCAAATTTCTGAAAAAACAATTGCATAATACAGATATTCGATCAACATATCACAGAACTTTTCATGCATGATGTAATTGTACAACCTGCTGATTGTTACTATAAATTCTAAATCTGATTAACCAGCTCGTGCTATATGCATTTTCTTTGTGAAAAGTTTTTCCCTAAATCTATTATTCCCTTACCTAAATAAAGGCAGAAATGAGCTGAGAAAATGTTTTAAAAGGATAGTATATCTATGTTGTCCACTTTGTCCTTTTATTGATTTCGATTTACCTCAAGAAAAATTAAATAAAATAAACCTTCCATCAACACGAGAAGAAATAGATAAATTACTTTGTATTGCCTTTATAGATACCTGTAAAGAAGTATATCCATAATGGGATGATTATATGATAGCTCTTGCTAATAGTAGTGATTCAAAAAAAATGTCTCTTCATATATCTACATTTGGAATACGACTTAAAAATATCTATAAAGTTGCAGTATTTATTGAACTTGTTTGTAAAAAACTTCCAATATTTTACAAACCGATGGAATTATTGATAATATTGCAAAAAGAAGTGCACTCTCTTTACGAATACTTGGAACACCAAAATATATAGAAAAGTCAGGAGAACATGTACAAGTAAAGAAAGCTATATATCCAAAAGATAGAACTGTATTTGATTTTATGATCCGTCCTCCCAATGATGATTTGCTAGTTGTAGAGTCCAATTTTAGATATTCAGAAGAAAAGACAATAAAAAATAATAATGAAAATGATGCTGAAAGTTTTGGAGCTGAAGTGGAATACATGGAAAAACTATTGAATTTACTTAATATCAATGGTTTTGAAGTTTTATATCCAGGACCCATACATCCAAATATTTTTACTTTAAGACATAAATCAGCTTCTCATTGTACACTATGTAATCGAGAACATAGTGGTGATAATGCATATGTGGTTTGAAATAAAAAACTTATTGTTATCATTGTCATTGTGCAGGTCAAGAAACACCTTCAGGTACAAAAAAACATCATTAAAACTAGTAATTAATGAAACATTTGAAAATCAAGAAAAGGCCCTTCCAACCCCCAAAAAAATAGAACAATTCAGAATTTCAGATCCAAATGATCATTTTGTATGGGGAGATCTACTAGATATGTGTACATCTAAACAAAGATATACTTGTACTGAAGTTTATGAAGCAATCCAGGCAACAATCGCTTGTGTCCAAATGAAAATGAAAACATGGATTCTTAAACATATTGATTCAATATCTTGCCTTTCTATACCTCAAATTAAAGCTATTATAAATCATTTTTCAGATCACTCTGTATAATCTATTTTTTTTTCAATAAAGTGAGGAGATGATCAAAATATACATTAATATACATGATTTTGAGAATCTAAACCATGTGCAGTTAATCCAATTTTGATATCCCTGCATATAATCGCACAAATATATCAACTGACCTCTATATACATGTTCTATGAATTTCTAATAATAAACACAAACATAAACATATTTAATATTCGATATATGAAAAAATAGCAGAACATATAATAATAATATCTTCATTTCACAATGATTTTTTTGTGATATGCTAAAATTATTTTCTATCATTACATACACTCACCTGCCAAAAGTATTAGCAATTTTGCAGATCGCTGGAAATAATTGAACAAAGTGTAATAAAAATAACTCAAAATTTTATTATCACAATCACTTTTGTGTATTAAGCAAAAATCAATTTTCATAATGATTCCCATAATATACTTGAGTTTTATAATGTTTTGTTTACAATTGATGATTTTATTAGCTTTAAAAGTCAAAGTAAAAAAATTTCAAAAATTTCAAAAAATTTTCAATTGATAACAAAACCTAATTGCCAAGTTTTAACATGTCTAGATAGCATAATAAAAAATGTGCACCATGCTTTGAAATATATATATATTTTTTGGTAGAATAATAGGTAATACAAACATTCATCAAAATTTGTTTTTAGATCTTCATGTTGTTTTTCGCAAAAACTAAAATTAGAATTATCTGTTGTTGAGCATGCAGAGGTAATTGGTGCTTGGAAATGTGATGTAAGCAAGACAGAAATAAGCAAAAGACTTGGGATACCATTGAGAACAATATATAATATTATAGAAAAATACAATAAAGAAGGAACTGTTGAAAACGATAAGAGAAGTGGGAGACCCAAGTCACTTTCAGATAGAGATAAATGTGCTTTAGTGAAAGTTGTCTGAAAAAATAGAAAAAATGCAGTAAAAGATTATAAAAACGAAATAAATAAGGTTCTCTCAAGACCTGTAAGTACAAGAACAGTGCAAAGAAATTTACATGAAATGGGTTATTATGAATTTCTTGTCATAGTGAATTTTTTGGCTGGAACCATGAATTTGCTGTGGCGAGGTTTGACTGCATATATATTTTCAATAAAAATGACTGAGCTAAATAGTAATAATTGTAGTCAACATTAACAAGCTTATGGAGCTTCACAAGCAACTATTAAATAAATATACACCAGCAAACACTTAACATCATTTCTAAAAAATCCACCACTACTACTGCCACTAATAGCACATCTTTGTTAATGTCCTTAGATGGGGTTTATATTTCAGCATCTAATTCTCCATGGCCAACAAAAAAGGGTCCATGCTTTTTCTGCTCTTATTATGGGCATCATATGGACACATGTCCCAATACAAAAAATTTTTTTTGGATAAGACTGCCATGGATGCTTCAATATTTATGATGACAATGCAGTCAGTATTATTACCAAATATGGAATTTCCAAATGCTGCAAGGATAGACAATCTAGAAATCTTTTAGAAAAAAAACAAAACAATTTGATGTTCAAGAATTTGTGAAGGATTTTTTGATGTTTTATATGGGGCATACTGCAACAAAACCAGACAAAGTGAACATTTGTATTACTAAGTTAATCTACCACTGTGATAGTAATATTTTACTTACCAATGTGAAATGAATAAATGCAAAATCAATTGTAAAGATATTTTATTACAAATAATACTAAATAATAATATTTATTTTGAAAATGATAAATTACAAATCATCATGCAAAGACAATTCTAAAACAATTATATAATCTTAATTAGTTTCTATTTTCTCATGTTGTATTGGGGTAGTAATTGTAGTAAAAATAATTGAATATAATTGATTATATTATCTTATCTGAATTTCTATTCATTGAACAACTTAAAGAATATTTTTCTGTTTTAAATATTAATAATTACTGATATGATCATTCATAATAAATAAATTTATAAGTAACCTGGTTAAAACATAAAAAGCTCTGCTGATTAATTTACTTAAAATTCTTGATATTTTTTTCTATATCATTATTGATGTTCATGACATTGTTATTTTTGATTATAGAAGCAATCCTGAATTAATCTATAAGTACAATTTTTTAATTTAAAGAGTTTTTCTACAAATTTCCTCAATGAATTCTTCAATTTTTAATAGTAAATTTTTTGAGTCAACTTCTTTGTAATTTTCTAGTTCATCACTAACACTATTATCAGATTTCTTTTTCTGATGATTTATTATTATTATTAATTTGTTTGTTTTTTTTTCTATGCCTTTTTATATTAACATTAACATGAATAGTTTTTGAAATTTTTTTAAATTTATGGTCTCCTTATCTTAAAAATCATCTATTAATTTGAATATATGTTTTTCATGATCTTTGGTATCTTTTTTATCAGTTTTTGTTTGTGATATAGGTCTTTTCTTATTTAGAATTGTAAATTGATCATGTTCAGTTGAAACATCTAAAATTGTAAAATCTGCATTTGGTTTAATATACCAAGTCTTGGCATAGAATTTTCTCACTAATTTTGTTTCTCTGAAATCAAGAATTAGGTGTGACTGGATGGGTATTGGTGAATATATGCCACCTAAATAAAAGGTAAATATATGTACACATTATATAGAGGTAAAATGAAATAGAATCTATATATACATAATTACATGAATATATACCATCCTTGAAATGATCATGGTGTTTTTCATTTTATCACAATTAATGAGCAACTCGATTGCTCATTGTTTCTCATTGATGTAAAAATCAACCAACCCATCTGTCAAGAATAGATGTCCAACATCTGGCAAGAGATGAATTTCAGAAGGTAGGCAGCTATATATTGCTCTATATAGTTCCATTTGCCACACCCTCTACAGCAAATTTTTTCCATTCTTAGATTGACCCAAACTGTTTTTCAATGTCTTAGGATCAATTCTGGATAAAGCTTCTTTGGTCAAGTCATGTAAACTAAATTCACCTCTCAATGGTTCTTTCATTGGAGCATATCTTTGAAAAAATGATAATAATCTGTTTATGGGTGAGGTAAACCCAACAACTCTACCTTCTCTCAATTTGAAATCAGGACATTCACAATCCAGGTAAGATATCACACCAATTTTAAGCAATGACAACACCACATCATCAGGACCTGATTCAGGAACATTTATCTCATCTTCTAGCAATAAGTTATCAATCACTTCACCTTGTTTTTCAGTAAATTTGTATAATGATGGAACTCCTAGGTATGTTTCAATTTCATCAATAAATTCTGATGGTTTTGAATCTTTAGAACTAAATAGATGCAAATAGAAGTCAATACATCAGAGAATTGAAATAGGCATTAACTAAAATGATGGGTTGCATGCAACAATCACAACTATTTCTTTGATAACTAACTAGAGTAACTAGAGTGACAACAGGTGGTGGGTGATAACCACCACCACCATCCTTAAAACACTTACCCAGCAAGGTCTTCACGGTCTTGTTGTCTGCTTCTTTTCTTGTTGTTGTTCTTATTAGGTGGCATTTTTGTAAAAATAAAAGAAGTTTTATTATGATCAACATGTACAACATTAATTATTTATCCTATTGGTTTTTTTTTGGTAGGACAGACACAAATTGATTTTTTTTCTTTCTTGGAAAAACAATTTATTTTTTGACAGAATCCAAGGAAGGTGTGTTAATAACCAGAGGTACTATTTTTTATTTGTATTGATTGATATTTTTATTTTAGTTTATAAATATATATTATTGGAAATCAAAACACAGAGCAGATCTTGTTGGTGTAATACAGATTCTTATCAAGATTGTGTATTTTGCTTTTCATAATCCATAATATTATTATTACAGGATGTCAAGGCAGCACATTGTTGAAAAAGAAATATTTCAAGTATGCAACATTTGATTATCAGACATTGAAGCATGCATGCTACCTCAAACACTTTACAGTCATTCTCTCACCTTCCTCATGTACACAAGGCTAATCTGACCAAGATTCCCCTGATGATACAATGATGCTACAGAATTTCAGGGGGGCCACATGGTCCTGGAGTTTACTGAGACTGCATCAATCATCAATGACACTTTCACTAATCTTCCCAGACCAGAGATGGCTGCTAGCATGCTGGCCAAAAAGTTGCTTGCAACAATCCCACCTCTAGGCAAGAATGGCACTGTGACCAAGTCATAACTCTGCTGATGAATCAATTAATGAAAATATCAATGATATTAACAAAAAAATAAAATTCATGGAGACTACCACAGGAATCAACTTACCAATTTTAAATAATTCCACTCATAATCCACTGAATATTAAAAATAACAAAAATATCCCACAACAATCCACTTCCTCTTTAAATCAAACAAGAACAAATAATAAAAACAACTCCTCAAATAATAATAAAAGGAGGTGACCAAATACATCATCATCATCATCATCATCATCAAGTGATGAATTAGAATGTGCTAAACAAAAACAGCTTGAGGTTTCAAACCAAATGGGAAAAATAGAAGACAAGTTAAATCAAATAACATCCATGCTAATACTTAATCATCAAGAAGAAGATGATGATGACACCCAAGGATATATACACTCATCAACAATAAATAATGAGTGCAATAAACAATAATAATAATAATA